TGCCAGGGGCACCCCCCCCAGCCCCAGCCCGCCACTGCCATTCATGCCCATCTGCAACTCCCTCACCGGAAGAGCAGGAAAAGGCACTGGCAGCAAATGACACTCTCTTCTATCCGGGGAGAGGAGAGAGTAAAAAAAAACAAAAGGCGGCAAAGTAGCACTTTCAACCTCTCCCCTCCCCCTGCATAGTCCCATATAAAAAACACTTTGGGACATGAAGAGGAGCAAGAAACACTGGCAGGCATTTGACAGCAGCCAGCGGAAAGGACCCCTCCACGCTAGAAAATTATTAAACAGGCAGAAAGCGCACCGTGACCTCTCTCTCATCCACGGCAGACCCAGGTGGGTGTGGGGCAAAGTGGGAGCAGGGCAGAAGAAAATAGGGGCAGAAGGTTACCTTGCAGACGGCACTGTCGGGGCACAAGCCGACGGGAGACGCGAAGGCAGGACCGAAAGGTGCTGGCTATTTAAAGTGTGGAAAGAAAAATTCAGCAGTGGTGTAATCCTAGACTTCGCCCAACCCACATTCCTTCCCCCACCCCCCAGGGCTGGACAAAAACCTACACATGACTGATTTCATGGCCAGTGCAAAGGGGCTCATTCCCCCTGCTTGCAAGAAGGGCTCACACCACCTCTGCCACTGCTCTCCCTTCCCGTCCGGGGACCGTGTGGCTCCTGCTCTCCATCATTTCTCTGCCCAATGCTTTCCCTGGAAGCATGGGAGAAAGGGGAGACCACCCCATCCAGGTACCCCTGCAGCCCTGCCAGAGGGGTCCAAAGCCCCGAGACCTGCTGGGAAGAGGTAAGAGCCAAAATAAGAATTCACAGTGAATTCCGAACATGGGATCTCTCCTCGGCAGGGAGGACATGGGCACAGGGCAAAGTCCTGCATCGCAGCCCAACTCGTGATGCCCAGGGGGACAGCCAGGCCGTGCTGTGGCCCGGAGCAGTGTCGGACAGCAGAGCTCTGAGCTGGAAATAAACTCTGCTAAACTCTCTGCTGCTTCTTACTAAGGGCCCAAAACAGCCTCATTCAGAAATTCGGCAGGTTGCAAACTGTCTTTCCTCACGCAGGGATCTTTGCCACTGGTCTCTCCCAGGAGCAGTACTGCCCCATCCCAGGACATCACTCCAGAAGCCACAATGTGAGCAGGCAAGCAAGCAGCAGATGAAAAATCATGCAGCAGGGAGAAAAGCAGCCCCAGTTACGTACACCTGACACTGGGCTGCAAAACTAGCTGTGGCTGCCCAGGAAGTAGATGTTGGGATTATGACAGGTATTACCTGATGACATTAGCTCTGTGCTTTGAGACCATAAATAGGCAAACAGAACAGGATTCGTGGTAGATGTGTTACAGCTGTGATGGTCCAAGGATGTCAGTGAGGCAAGGTTTTAAAATATTTTTATTACATCTGTTGATGAAAATATGGGGCAAGAAAGAATAAGAAAATATCATGCTTTAGGGTTCGGTGTCCTTTCAGGCCTGCAAAGCAGAAGCAGAACATGAGCTGTGTACAGGCAGTTTAAGAATGTAATAGGAGAACAACATGAATGAAGCAGCAAACACTGAGGTGTCACCACATTAATCTATGGTGTACCTACACAGCACTGGACTTCCTACAGGAGAAACAGGGAAGGAGAAAAGGGATGGGCAGAGGTAAGGAATGTATTCAACCACGGAGTGATCAAATACACCATGACTCCACATCTTGGGAAGAGATGCCTAGAATAAAAAGAGGGTGACAACAGAGGTCTAGGAAAAAAGGAAAAGACAGAGCAGATGAATATGTTATTCACTACATCTCATAATGCAACAACTAGTGGCACTTGATGAAACCTTTTGATTTAAAACAAAAGGAAATACTTTTTCTTCTCACTGTGCATAATTAATTAAACATGGTTCCCATGGCTGTTGCCACAGAAAGGAACTGCTCAGAAAGGAACTAGGCCAGTTCACAAAGGGCTGCTCTTGTGTAGCAGTGATTAAACAGAATGGTCCAAATAAAACAGTCAGCTCCAGTGCTCAAAGCAGTGGTTGCTGGAAACCAGGGAAGATGTTCCAGGGGAGGAATTCTGTGAGATGGTAAGAAATGGAGAACTTCCCTGCGCAGAAACCATCTCACAGTGAACAGTGTTGTTGTTAAATAGTTAGGGTAAGTATATAGGGATTAAAAAACCACAGCAAAGTCAACTAATACCTTGCCTTGTGCAACAAATTGGTTGGTAAGGAGAAAGGAGATTGAATAAGGAAATATTTCTAGTATTGTGTGCATCAGCATCACTGCTCAAATATCCCTGGATAATCCCGATCACTACAGTGCACTGATGGCAATAATCAACAAGATTACAAGCTAATTGGCAGGAACTAATAGACTATGATAGGAAACTGTGTAATCAATAACAAACTATTTGGCTTCCGCCGAGTGAGATAAGGCTACACTGAACACAACTAGTTGAACATGAAAACAAATGTTCAGTGTAAACATAACCAGCAAGGGGAAGTATTAAATCTACAAGTACAAAAGCAAGCTGGAAGATGCTGAGCAAAGCATATTTAAAGTAAAACATCACCTTACACATCCTCTGGGGTGAAACAAGAAAAAGTCCATATGGTTTGGGAGATGTTACTTGAGACATTAAAAAAAAATACTCAATCTTTTTACTGAAGATAGGAAGAGAAGTGAACAACAAACATCACAAAGGATCAGTTAAGACTACAGAAAAAAATAATTTCAATACACATTTTTGAAATTGCAGAAGGCAAAAAAAACTGGGAGGGACTTTAATCAGCCCGTCAGAGACAATCAAAATCTAAAGGGGAAAAATGCAAAGGATGAAATCTCGCTGTCTAAGATTTTGAGTCTGTAACCATATGTAAGCCAAGTTGAAGAAAGGGGACAGTCAGAAACAAAACCTTAGCAAACAGATTTGGAAGAAACCAGAGAGACAGAAAAAAGCGAATCTTTTAAAAAGAAAAAGGAACAAGCCTAGATAACATACACACTGTAGTAACAAGGAAACAATTTTATCTCAAGATCTACTGAGATAATGCTGTTTTAAAGTTTTTTGATAGCTACACAGACATATGTTTTATTTATATTAATATGAACACCAGGGAAGGGCTTTTGCAGCGGCATTAGCCATGCGGAGTCGTGCAAGCTGAACATCATCAGGCAGCTGCAGAGCATCTTCCCCCCCAGTGCTACAAGTGCCAGCGAGCGGCAGTGCTTATGCTGGCCCCCGTCCCACGTGCATCACTCTCACAGCACCCCCCAGGATGGCACAAGGGGGTTATTTTGTGCACAGCCTCCCCTGCCAGAGGTACGAAATGGGAGGCTGCTTATTCAGTAACCCCCCCCCCAGAGCACAGGACTGAAGATGGCACCAGCCAAAGCAGCTGCACTCGTCCCAGCCCCGTTACACAGGACTGGGCCATGACCCCCCCCGTTTATTGGGACAGCCCGTGCTGGAGCGATGCCTCCCAGAGCAGATCCTGAAGCAGCTCCCATGTCCAGGGAGGCTGCCAAGCTGCCTTTGCTGGCGCAGAGCAGTGCAGTGCTCGTGCAGGGGGCACGAGTGGTGCACGGCTGGCTTAGCCACTTCTCCCCAACACCCATTTTGCAGAAGAGCAAGAGCGCTGGACCGAGGGGGGTCTCTGTCAATGTACCTCACACCTCTGCCAGCACGAGGGCTGGAAAATCCTGATTCTGAAAGCTATTGAGTCCTCTCATTGCATTTATGATGCATTTTGCATATCTGTCTCTTTACCTTACAACGCTTGCCAAGATTTCTGTCTTCAGCTTGGTCCCAGCCTTCCACCAGCAACTGAGGCGGCGCTCGTGGGGAAGTGCTCCATCTGAAGAAAGCAAGGCTGGAACAAGCTTTCTCTGGAGATAACGAGGTACTCTGACATTTTCTGGGTCAGATATGCACAAGAACTGGCCCCAGCCCACCCCATCCTGCACAGCTGGCACACACGAGCGCTGGCCCTACGTGCTCCAGTAGCAACCACAGGACCTACTCCCAGGTCTGGTCTTGCTTCACGCCTACATCCAGCTGAGCAGGGAAGGAGCATTAATTAGATTCTTTCCTCCAAAGCACCCAGCCACCTCCAGCCACCCAGAAAGGTGATTCAAACCTAAAAGGAGGAGAGATTCAAAGGCACTTGCTTAGAGAGATGATGAGGGGAAAAGAGGAGGGAAATGGTTACCGGGAGACATACACAACCTCTTACTGCTCTGCAGGTAGCAGCAACTTTCAAATGAACTTACGCTCCTAACCCCCAAAGCACTTTTAGGAGAGTGGCCAGGGCACAATTGCTGCTGCCGCCTCATCGTTCCCAAGGCGAAGAAGGCATCAGCCACAACTGACTTTTGCTGAGCACTGAGAGCAGCTATGCTCCCCAATTCGACCTCCCCCTCCGTTCCTCTCTCAGATGTGACAAACTGCCTCCATGTGTTCTGGGGCCATGTAATCTTGCAAGCCACCTCCCAGCTTCCAGGAACGCAATTTGCCGTTATATTATCTGGGAACCAAAGGCCAGAGCAAATACGATGCATTTCCTCTATCTGATAACCACTCTGCTACTGGCCTTTTCAGCCTGAAAATGTTATTCATCTTAAGTGACCATGGCTAGAGCAAGCAAAATTGTCACAAATATGCACAGAAAGGGGATAAACAGAGGCTGATACACGCTGGCACATTACAGGAACCTGGAGACCACTCAGTGGAGAAAGGAGCCAAAGTAAGCACAAAGGACTGACTCCTGCTTGAGCCACTGAGGCCCCTCCCAGAAAGGCACATATATTTTAAAAGCACAGTGGCAGGAGCCAAAAGCCATTGCAAGAGCCTGCGGTTCCTACAGTGACAAAAGATCCTACTGCAGCCATTTAGACAGCCTCACTCAGACACAGCCTCCTTAGCAAGTACCTGCTTCCAAATAATGACCTGAATGACCAGAATCCCGAGGCAAGAAAAACCCTGTCCCCACGAGACACCTGCAGAGCAGCGGAGGCCTCACTTTTGTACCCAGCCTGTCTGTGGGGCAAGATAGGACTGTTCGTGGACACCGTGTTCTGCATACAGGAGATAAACAGATGACACTCCTGCACCAGCCAGAGCTCACGGACCAGCTTGAACGCAGGACGGCATGCTGACAGTGAGTGCAGCACTGGGGAACCCTCACCTGCAGATATTGCTGCCGTACCCCTCGCTCCTCTGCACACAGGACCTATGGGCAATGCTCACACGGCGCTTGGTGTGGAGGGTGATAAGTGTGCTGGTGAGTCCCCCTAACTGTGGACCTCTGATCAAAGGTCAAAAGCAGTACAGCACAGGGGGAGATAAGTTGACACCAAAAGGACTGTGCCCCCAGACCTGCTTTGACCATAATGCAAACTCCCAGCCACGTAAGGGAGGAGCAGCATCAGAGC